GAACGAACGAACGAACGAACGAAAGAACGAAAGAACGAAAGATCGAAAGAACGAAGAAAAAAGCTAGGGAGAGAGTTTGGGAGGGAAGCAATGGAAGGAAAAGGAAAAACACGGAATGAACGTTTTCGATGAATGAATGATAAACATTAGAAGTACTTAATGGAGCTGTATAATAACTCGTATAGTCTTACTATTTCATTAAACTGCACATGCCATTGTTGTTGAAAACTCTATGTATTAAGATTCTCAAGGTCCAAAGGTTGAATTGCTGCTAGAGAGTTTCTCGACTGCTGCAAACCTTTAACAGACGTTCCCTCCCCTTGCTCTCTCTCTAATCTTCCTCCCAAACCCGTCGTGCAAGCCATTCCACAGCATATTTTCGCCAAACAATATTTCAAGCTCTGTTTCATTGTTCTTTGGAAGTTGCGCATCAAACCAGCGTAGACAATAGGATTTATGGCGTGGGAGGTGAACAAGAAGGTATAACAGATCGCGTAGCTTATTTCATCTTGATGTCCATTGATGTCATACAACAGTCGAAAGAAGACCCAGGGAAGACATGTCACCGTGAATGCGGTGATTAAAACTGTGGTCACTTTGGTAATCCGCATTTCTCTGTCTATTGTAGCACGACCCATCGCGCTCATCATGTTGTTGTTATGAGAATTGATCCCCCTTTTGACGACACATGAAGAGTATATCATCATGGAAAGGATCGCTAGTATCACAAACGTCCCCGTTCCGTTCAATATCTCGCCAGCGATAAAATGTGGTTTTTCTTCACGCAGTGTCAACCAGTGCGTGGGTACCAAAAGAACCAGAGATATTGTCAGTATTCCTGTAGCAAACGATACAGCCCACACCACTAAGGAGATCTTTTTGATTCTGTTCTTATTGATGCGTCGTTGGAATGGTGACTTAATGGCATCGTGACGATCAATGCAGAGAAGCACGTGGCAACAACAAATAGGGAAGCCTATGAACACGGTGAGTACAAAATGGACCTCGCCTAAAGCGTCTATACTCTTGTCTTGAAAATCAGTCCAGAATGTGTAACACATTATTGGCATGTTGACCAGACAGCCCAAGAAATCGGCAACCGCCAGATTGACGAGTATCAAGTTGGTCGGAGTGCGCATGCTCACGCTATTGCGAACCGCTAGACAAACTAACAGATTTCCGATCAAACCAACGAAAAATGTTATGAGGAGAAATACGCACGAGCCAATTCGGACACCATACGGGAACATTTCGGCTCTAAAACGACCAGCTTTTGGAAGCTTAGTTATTTATGAATGTTTTGATCCAATTGAGAGAACGTTGACAAGGCTACAGCGATAACAATAACATTCGTTAAACAATATTTCAATCGTTATCAAGTCAGTGAAGTTTGAATGACGTATATCATGAACAATGTTTGATATTGCGCTTTCAGCAATAACGTAAGGCTTGCCTTATCGGTTCTGAATCTTCCAGACGGCAAACCTGTTCAGATTTGCATTGCCGCACAATTCATTGAAGAATCAAAATTTTGTTCATATATTCATAGTAATTCGAAAAATGTCTCTCGATGTTCTTGAATTCTTAAATCTTGACACTCCTTGTTTTTATTGCTAGATTCTTGAAGATAATTTTAAATTTTCGGTTTCAAATTTCAAAATCCTCACATTTATCCTGCTTCCCTGAAAGTCAGTCTTTACGTCTTCAAACTAGAATCGATTTCTTGATCACTGGGAGATTTCTTCCTGTTTATTTTCAACGGTTTGAAAAACAAAATTATTTTTCCATTCGTCTTGAAATGATCTTTCTACCTTTCTGATATGATGATGAAAACGCCGCCACTTTTGAAAACTCGATTTCCTTGCATCCAGTAACTTTTTGCTTCTTTGCTTCTTTGCTTCGTACAAATAAAGGTCTTTATGCTTTTCGTGAGTGAGTTTCAGTGTGGTCGGATTTTCGACTTGAAGCAGCTGAAACTAAAAAATGGATGAAAACAAAATGAATTCTCATGCTGATTTAATTCGGAAACAAACAAAACGATTCCCCCGATAGGAAGTTAGCTATTGAATGTTGATTACAAATGATTTGTAAAAGGACAGAAAGAGCATAGAGTGAGAAAAAGTAAGGGTAAACAACTAGGCCACGTCTTAAGGGGATACAATGCACCCATCGAGCCAATCGCAGCGGCGAAGTTTTGGCTCGCGCGTCAAGGTTCACGATCACTACAATGCACTTTTTTGTGAATCCTAAAATAGATATCACATTTAATCTAGAACAATGTTTGGATTTTAACTAACTGATTTACACACTAGTAAAGTCAGGAAGGCATCGAGCACAATTTCAAAGACATCATATGCTAACATGGAAGTGCTTTAAAAATATTACAAAAGGATTCTGAAGAGGGATTCGGTCTAGTGTTGTTTTTGAAAATGAAGATAAAATAGGCTGGATTTGAATCAGTTCTCTTATTAAGAAATAAAAACATGTACAGATATTACTTAAACTCAGTATGAAGTATGTTTGTGGAGATGGTAATAATTACCATGGTAAGGCAGATGTTGCAAGCTTTCATTTGTTTATCAAATGTTTCTTTACTATCATCGACATTCAACGAGCGACTCGCTTCTCTCGTGCATTTCTAGGGGATGGCGTAAAGGGCCGCGACCTGCATTATATTTTTATCAAGCATAGAGGACGTTTCCCCTTCCCCCGCCACCTTCTTCCATCCTTCCTCCACCTTCTTCCACACATCCCTCTAACTCAAGTCAGCCCAGAGGTTGTTTCAGGGTTCGATCTGCCAGCTAGCCATGCACTGACTTAGATCAGCTCAGAGTTTGATTCAGGTTCGATCTGTGAGCCGTGACCTGACTTAGATCAGCCCAGATCTAACATGTTCCGATGAGCAATGAAAATTGAAGGTTAGTTTATCAACAAAGATGATAAACTTTATTATTTTAATTAAGTTGAGCAATGAAAAATTGATCCCGTTTTGGACATTGAAGGACCAAAACTTCAGATCAATTGCGAATAAAATGTTTTTTCCTCTACAATGTTCAAAATAGATTTGACATTTTCACATTTATACCGATTGCAAGTTTATTTTTCACACCTTTTAACAAAATCATGCATAATTCATCAAATGTTCAAAATGGAACACTTTTGGCCAAAAAGCATCGATTAAACATATAGCCCATGGTTTTGAGTGATTTTACAATTATATTTGAATTCCTTATTTTATTTACCTCAATGATATCTAAAATGGGACATTTTTGTCATTGAGAGCAAGCTAGATTGAGGCAGAGAGCTCTGGTTTTACACTAATTCTATACTCGCTATTTTGTTATTACTCACTTGGAATTACCCTTCGTCACCTGTTTTTGGCCATTCTAATCATAAGGACGCGATCTAGTTTATTTAATATATGTAGCTTTTACCTCACGAATTATAAACGAGTTTGTTAAATTTACATACAGAATGTGTCAAACCATCCATGAGTATAAGAATACAAGAGGCATAACTACTATGCATATCGAAGGTGTAGGCTTAGATCATGATATAGTTCGACAAACTCTAAGGCATTAATTAATCAAACAATAAGTGAAAATTAACAATAATTAATTTTGGGTAATTCCGGTTTATTTTTTATTTTTTTCTGAAGCAGTTACTCTTTGCATCAAAGCTACCGCATCGCAAAAGCGTTATTTTTAGAACAAACTAAATTTATCTTTATGATACCATAAATGACTCGCACATTTTTATCTGAAATTTCCACGCGTAATTTAGGCCCAGTGTCGCATATCCGGATATATTTAAAAACGGATTATTTGTATTCCCTAAAAGAAAGAAGAAAAAAAAAGAAAGAAAAAAACAGTCCGTTTCACGTGAAGCTTTTTTTTACTTCGAATCGCTTTCCTTCGTCTACGCGAATCCATTCTCGACTAGTTGAGTTTTCAAGTGGTGTACTCACCAGATACATGTGCGTTTTCGAAAGCCGCAAAGGGAAACTTACAATCCGCATCACAATCATGACGTGAAGACGGGGGCTTAAAATTTTACATGTGAATCAGTTACTTTTCCATGGCAACTGCAAAAACAACGAATTGCTCGTCGTGTTTGGAAGATGTTGCTTGTCGTATAACTATTTTCCGGCATGACTGATATTTAAAACTATCAATGAAAAACTCCTGAACGACAAATTCTTTTTTGAATTCGTGAAATACTTTGTTTCTTGATTACAGGCTCGTTCACTCAGGATTAGCCTTATTTCAAAGTCAACTGATATTCCCAAATACCAACGATAATTTTAAGTAAAGAATGCAGAAATTCAACAATTCAACACCCGGACATTCCACAAACCTTTATTGCGACATGAATATTCTACATGACATCGAAGCTAATGCTAATCAACAGATAATTCGACTGAAGTATTCTACGCACATGATGTATTAGCCATTCCCAGCTTGAGGTTAGAAACTGTTGAGTTGGCATTTTGATGCATTGTGGGACTGTTTTTATGGGATAAAATATACGCCATTTTGGAATTGAATATGTCCCCATAAAACATTCCCACATTGATTTTTGTCCCCTTTGGATATTTTCTTTCCCTTTAGCAATTGGTTAATGTACACAACATCAAGCAATTTAGACACGCACGTGTTTCATCCTCCCACTTGTGGTTTTCTAACTCACATGCATGGTGATACAGACACGCACGTGTTTCATCCTGCCCACTTGTGGTTTTCTAACTCACGTGCATGGT